TAAATATTAATCTAAAGCTGAATTTCAACTAGCCACTAAATTACAACATTTTTAATGAGAATGAAAAAATACCTGTGCCATATTCAGTATTAGAGTCCGACCGATTAATCGGCCGATGCCGGGGCTAGTATAGGCCAAAAGAATCGGCATCGGCCGTTTTTGACCGATTCTTGAATGAGGCTATGTTATTTAGTTATTTGATTATGTTTTTCTTTTGTTATTATAAAAGCATTTGTTCTCGAAATGAATCTAATCCAGGATTTAATCAGCGGAAGCATCTTCTGATTAAATCCTGAATATAATGGCATTTTAATAACAAATTCTTTTATAAATTCATATGATAATAAAAGAAAAACAATCAAATAACTAGATAAAAATAGCTCATTCAAGAATCGGCCAAAAACGGCCGATTCCGATTTTTTTGGCCGATACCAGCCTCAGCATCGGCCAATTGATCGGTCGGACTCTATTCAGTATAACGGCAAATTTAAATTCATTTTTTATGCAAAATCCACGTTTTTGAAAAAAATTGCAACAATACTTAACGTGCAGTAAGCGTTTTGTTAAGCTTTAAAATTACAACTAACGAATCTGAGCATGACATCTATATCGAAACGCAGGACGAATTCGACATCAAAAATGCTTTGAATGTAGTGATTATTTCAAATGTCACTCTTAACAACTGTTTAAATATGTCTTACTCCAATATCCTAGCCCATATAAAACGTCGATTTTCCATTATTTCTACCAGTTTTGGCTGTTTTGCTGGACTGGAACAATTTCACCTGTTTTCTGTTAGAGTACGTTCAGCAATTCTCACTATCCCCTACTAGGTGAATTCTTATAGATTTCCAAGGCGATCTTCTATACTATTCACAATTGCACTAAGAACTTTTTCTCTGTATCTCTTATCGATATTGTAGCAAAATAACTGTTGACTCTGCTGATAGCGTGAGATTTCGCCACTTGCTTAAAAAATTCTACTTTTTGAAACATGCACATAATATAGGCAAGAAATTTTATGTATAAAGAAAACTTCAAATCCTAACACATAACTAAGCGGAAAGGTTAAAATTGGAAGGGAAACAAATCTACTTATAATCAAACACAATACAAAGATATCGTTATGAATTTTTTACACAACATAACATAAACACACGGCCATTCCTGCATACTAAACTCATAAAAACATTGTTTGATTACAGCGTCATTTCAACAAGCGAGCGATGTGTTTTACATTATTTGTGTAGTGCAATTTATATCGCTAGCTTAAAGTGAAAAGTGGCTAATTCCATGTTTACAAATTCTACAAGAGGAAACAAAAGTTATTCTAGCCATTTTCTTCAATTAATTTGCAAGACTTTGTTTGAATGCAACATTTTGGGCGTTTAAAGCAAAACAAAACTATAAGAATCCGAGAGTTTAGATATTATGTAGAAGATTTTTTATTACTTTGGCCTTATACAATTCCTTGTGCCTCTTTTGGACTTAGCAAACTAGTAGCATTATTAATTTTGGAAATGATGCATTTTTAATTGCTCTTGCCTTTTATATTACAATATGAGTTTTCACAAAAGGTGGACTTAGCAACTTTTCACTCTAAGTTAGCGAAATGTAGATTTTTAATGTTGAATGTGTTTAGTAATGCTCACAAAATATAATTTATAATTATGTACACCATTTTTATACATTTATATCTACTACACCGTGCTACAAAAACCAAAAATTTTCAAAACACACGAAAAAAATCAATATAATCACAAAACTAGGAGCCAAATATAGTATAACTGCGTTTTTTTTATAAAAAAATATTTTAAACAAAAAAATTACAAACCGATACGGTATCGTTGTAAAGGCGATTACCCCCTTTCTTCTGGTATGCATATTTGTATACTTCATATATAAAAATTTGAGAAAAAACATTTAAAGTCAAAAAATACTTTTTTTTAAAAAAAAATGTTTTAAACAAAAAAATTACAAACCGATTTTTAAAAAAATGTTATCGTTGTAAAGGATACCAGAAAACTTATACGATCCGAAACCCAAAAATTTCTATTACACAGTGTACAGTATACACATATGTATATAAACTCCTGCCCCCTGCCTGAAAGGCTGGCTACGCCCCACAGTGGTTCGGATAGCAGATCTACTTAATGGTACTTGGAATACATTCCTGACAATACATTCAAATAGAAATTGCATTTATTAAAGCAATGAACACAATGGAAGCAAAAAAAAAGGTAAGTCAACACCGTTTATTTCAGAACTCTATTTTAAAAACTGAAATGTAACTTAAAAGATTGCTAATTGAACTCACAAATCTTTGAATATTTGCAAATTGACTTTATTAACCAAAAACTGCACTTATTCCACTATAGATTCAGCGGTCATAACGCAATTTATGTCCACATTGGTATAAGCGAATGTATACTGAAAATTCGTCGTTTTGATCAATTAAAAAAATAAACTAAAGAGTAGGAAAAGTAAAGGCCGCCGAAGGCCGTTATAAAACCACTTGCATTACTCTTTACACCTTCGCAAATGCAGGGGGGCAAGTTCGATAACCAAGTCTAACCAATTGGCTTAGATATTTGCATTTTAGTGACGGTATGTCAAATCTCCAAATTCGAAAGTAATTATTAACAGGAACAACAAAAAAAGCCAAAAATCAGCAAAAAGCCCCAGGTACTTTAAACTTGCACTTCATTTTACTAAAGTTGTATGGACTAGAAAACTGCACACTCAATATCTTTCTAAGAAACCTAATTAAAGACATCGAAATTTTTGCGAAAGTTTGTTGAGTTTTTTTTTCAAATATTGCACAAAGTTTGATACCTGGATTTACACAATTTCTTTGATAATGAACAAATTACATTTTTATGAAACAAGTAATTAAGATTATATAGATAATAAAAAAATAGTCAAATGTCAATATGTGGGTGTCGCATAATTATGATGCGGACTATTTTTATTAGAGAATTAGCTGTTCTATTAAATTATTTTAAAATGTACTAAGTCATTTTATTATTGTGAACTGAAAATAAAAATCAAAACATAAAGCGACATATTTTTATTAAACTTTTAACAAATTTGTAATCGTTTTAAGTATAATCTCTACAAAAATTTTCATATGTGAAGGTTTAAGATTTTTTAAATATTTTGTTTGCCATGTTGGTGCCGCCATTTTGAATTTTGGTAAATGACTTTAGATTCGTAATCAGCAACCCAGAAAATCCCCCAGATACCTAGTTTCATAGAAATTACCGATTTTTTTTTTAATCTTCGTCCGCCATATTGGATCTGCGAGTTTGAATTTTTGATAAGTGACTACAGATTCGTAATCAGCGACCCAAAAATCCCCTAAATAAGAAGTGGTGTAAAAATCCATTAAAGAGTATTTGTTTAAATAGCTTCGNACATTTTCAACACTTATTCGTCCTGGTGCACCCAAAAATTAAATTTTGTTTGTATTCTACAGAAGTTTTCCTTTTAATTGATACCCATATTGTTATTCTACAATGCACCGAATCTTTTGAATAATTTTTTTATTCAATCATATTCTAGAAAGTTCAAAGTCCTTTAAAAAAAATTCTGACGTCAGAGAGAAAAACTAAAAATGCAGTTTTACTACATTTGGTCCCCTGTTTTGTAAATACATATATTGATTTTTTCGTGTGTAAAATTTTCTGTCGCGCGGTGCTTTATGCGGATACATACATATCTGTGGACTTTTGACAAAACAACCTCTGTGCTTTCTGTNCGCCCTTGTATACAAAGCAATTAAAGTACTTCTTTTAGAGCGCATACATGGCTGCATAATAATGATTCCAGTATCTTCATTTATGTACAGTATCGGTCATATCTATAGCACGCCATTTCAAAGTGATATTGTGTGCCACTTATGTTTATTTATTTATTTTTNAAACAACCTCTGTGCTTTCTGTAGGTTGGAATTTAAAGTAAATTATAAGGAGCTTCCATTTAAACATTTCAAATTTTTATTTAACTTTCATTAAGATAGAATCTTGAACTACTCCAATTATTGACTAAACATAAAAATATCATTCGAGAACTCAATGAATTACTGCTTTGGAGAGAAAATGACTTCACTCAAAAGTCAAAAGTCCACAGATATGTATGTATGTATAAACCTACATATCGCTCATTTACAACTCAGTTACAACTAAAAATAAAGGAATTTAACAAGTGAAGCGTTATAGGAGTGTACTCGTACCCAAAACTATTAAAAGTTTTAGAAAACTTCCACTGGCATTGCATTTTCTTACACAAAAAACTTGAAAAATATTGGAAAATGAGAGAGCAAAATGTGATAGAGCTGCAAATTTATGGTGAAAAAATTTTTACCAGCGAAAACTTGCAAGTTAGAATATCAGCTGATCACAAACATATGTATGTTCGTGAATAAACAAAAGAAAATACGGCCTTTTTGAATTATTGATTGCAAATTATATTACCAATTCTAATATACAACGAAATATAAATAAAATTTATTAAAGCACAAGGTTTGTTGAGTTTATTTTTAGAATACCAAATGAAAATTCGTTCGATCAGCACTTTCGACTACAGTCGAAGATCGAATGCAACTCCTAATAGAGGCCATAAATTTCGAATCTTTATTGTTTTTCTATTGGCACAAAGTGCTAGCTCAAAATTTGGATCATATATGACTTCCGAGTCTTTTCGATTGCTGAGTATTAGGCCTTATGGACCCAAATGGGGGAAATTAGCTTATGGTTACAGAAGATATGTAACAAAGTAATTGACGAAGACTTGCGTGCCGCTTGCGCTTTTCTCTCAACGTGTTTACCGCTGGTAAACCCAACTGAAAGTTGAAATTTAAAAACTAATTAATAAATTTAAGTAAAACCTGTGGATAATTAACAATAAACTACTTTTTTCGAAATAACTAATTTTCAAGTAAAACCTGTGCAACAGTTATTATTTTACACCCTGTATATTATAAAATATTAATACTTACCTGGAAAAAGGAGTACAAAAGAAGTACAAAATTAAGAAAGGTGTACATTTCCAGATATTTTTTTTTGGAGCACAAGGGAATACATTGCAATTAAAAGTAGTACGTTTACTCCCTAACCTATCTCGGGAGCCAGTTCGAAAACTTTTCAAGAACGCCCAACTTCAGAATTTTATTGAAGGCCCTAATTCAAAATTTTATTGAAAAACACCCTATCTGAGAATTTAGTTGAAGAAGGCCCTATCTGAGAATTCGGCTCAAAAACGCCTTACCTCAAACGAAAATACATTGAAAATAAGCTGAGAACTGGCTGCCGTGATAGGGGTCGCCTTCCACGCAGCCATCGATATGCTGCTGGATAGTTTTGTCTGAGGAATACGGGTACACACCTGTTCTCTTCTCACGCGGAATTTTTAACCAATATGAGGAATGATATAAGGAGTGATTCTGCGTCATTAGCAAAAAAATTCCATTTTTTGAGTTCGGACAGTATTTTAGTAAATGAACGATATATCCTTGAATACAAATGTACATACATATGTACATAAGGTATGTACATACGTATATATTTGCATATTTGCTTATATTCCAGCTATATCTTTGGAGCCGCACGTTAAATCGTTGCATCTGACTCTAGCATATCAGTTTCCGCAGAATCAGTTTAATGCACTTAAAAGCTTAGTGGAATCGCTAGATGCGTCCTGTGCATCCAACTGGGAGCTGCGTCTGTATTCTCGCGACCCTCGGCTAGCCACTAAACAAGTACATTGTTTCATTCATTTGTAATTGTTGCTGTTTGCCCCATTCTTATGATTACAGCAATATTTTTTAATTGGCAATTTCTCTTTTATTTCGTTTACCTCTTTGCTTACTTTTCTACATACACATACAAACGTCCTATCTTTGGTGTTGTTTTCTTGCTTGTGCGATGCGCTGGGGTAGGTGCACAAAGTGGTGTATCCCCACAGTCCACATGAAATCGATGAACTGGAGTTGCGCATCGGCGATTACATTTATTTGAATACAGATGCAGTCGACAACTCGTGCGATGGCTGGGCCGAGGGTATTTCATGGCTAACCGGCAGCTCCGGACATTTACCTGTAAATTACACGGAACGAACTGCCGAGTCAGATGCGTGGACATTGCATCGTATTGTGCAGTTATCCAAATCGATGACACCATCACTAATATCTGCCGACGAAATTGATATTGTTGACGGGCGGAGCATTTCCACTGAACCTGAGGAGCAGCAAAGGGATTTGCATCATCAAAGTAGGTGAAGCAGTATTTTCTTACATGCACATGCATAATAAACTTACCTAAATTAAATATTTAATTTTAATGAAAAGCTTTATTAATTTTTTCCAATTTCTGGCATTTCTTGCACGGCGTTAGTTGGTATTCCTCACGAACTAATTGACGGCTCGGCATTTAATGAGGACTCTGAAAATAGCGTGGAAAAATATTTACGTAAAACTCTGCAACCTTGCTTGGATTTGCCATTACTGCAAAGTGTGAACAGCCAAACAACTCATAATAGCAGCCATCAGTCACAATCTCAACAGGCTAGTCAGCATACAGTGCAACAGCAGATCAAACAGCAAGATACGCCGAGTTTAGAAATGAATGTGCCAGATGTGGCTAAACGGTTAGGGGACATGGACATAATGGTGGAACCGATGGGTGTTGCAGCACCAAATGCTGATGACACGCTCAGTATGGATTCGGAGCGTTCACACGAGGCTGCGAGCCTTGAAGTAGCACCGGTAAAATGTCGTCGGATATACATAATGCGACATGGAGAGCGTGTGGATTTCACTTTTGGCACTTGGATACCATATTGTTTCGATGAATTTGGCAACTACGTACGCAAGGACTTAAATATGCCCAAGCAATTGCCCCGAAGGTGAAATTCCGATCTTTATATTCATTCGACTTAACTTATTTTGCTTCATTTAAGTATATACCCGAGCTCATCTTTGGTGTCTTGCGTCTTGATTTTATTCCGTAAATGTTTTTAATTTACATATCTTTTTTAGGCAAAGATGTCCTGAAGGCTGGCAAAACGACTCGCCACTTACGAATATCGGTCTCTATCAAGCAAAATTGACTGGAGAAGCGTTACTTGAATCCAATGTCTGCATCGATCATGTTTATTGTTCTCCAGCCTATCGTTGCGTACAGACCTGCATGAGCACACTAGAAGGTGGGAAGATATTTTAGGGCCTCAACCGAGTAATGCCCAAATGGCAGTATCCATTTCAAATACTTCACCTCATCACATTTTTGGTCACAAATTCGGGGCCAGTTTTTCAGTGCCAGTTTAAACATAGATTGCGTAAACTGTGTTTATCTTTAACAGCTGGCTGACATTCCATTGGCTAATCTTAGTTTAAAC